ACCAGAAATAAACCTATACCTTTATCGTCAATTGACTTTTGACAAATGTGCCAAGACAATTACTTGGGAGAAGAATAGTCTTTCCAACTGCTAGTGCTGGGACAACTAGATAGCCACATGTAAAAGAATAAAGTTAAAGCCCTACCTCACACCACATACAAAGATTAACTCAAAATGGATCAGATACCCAAATGTAAGAGCTTAATCTATAAAATTCTTAGAAGACAATATAGGAATAAATCCTCATACCTTTGAGTTAGGCAATGGCTTCTTAAATACAACATCAAAAGCACAAGCAAAAACAAGAGAGAGAGAGAGATTGGATTTCATCAAAATTAAGAATTTTGTGCTGCAAATAATACCATAAGGAAAGGGAAAATATATCCCACAGATTGAGTAAGACTATCTGCAAATCATTTATCTAATAAGTGATGTGTATAAGATATATAAAGAATTCTTGTAAAACCATAATAAAAAGAATAATAACTCAATTAAAAATTGAAAAAGGAGGGGCGATTGGGTGGCTCAGTTGGTTGAGTGTCTGTCTTTGACTTTCACCATCAGTCCAGGGTCCCGTAATTGAATACGCACACTAGGCTCCCTGCTGGGCAGGGGAGGAAGTCTGCTTCTCCCTCTCCTTCTGCCCCTCCCTCTGCTTGTTCTCTCTCTCTCTCAAATAAATGAATAAAATCTTCTTTGAAAAAGGTGGCACCTGGATGGCTCAGTGGGTTAAAGCCTCTGCCTTCAGCTCAGGTCATGATTCCAGGGTCCTGAGATCAAGGCCCGCATCGGGTTCTCTGCTCAGCAGGGAGCCTGCTCCCCCCCCAACTCTGCCTGCCTCTCTGCCTACTTGTGATCTCTGTCAAATAAATAAATAAAAATCTTTAAAAAAAAAAAGTTGAAAAGGGATCTGATATAGACATTTCTTCAAAGAAGATAAGCAAATGTCTAATAAGTACATACAAAGGCCCTCAATATCACTGGTCATTAGAAAAATGCAAATCAAATCCACAGTAAGATTCTATCTCACATTCACTAAAATGGCTACCATAAAAAAGATCATAATAAGGGTTGGCAAGGATGTATAAAAACTGGAATCCTCATACACTGCTGGTGGGAATGTAAAATTATGCAGACCCTTGGGAATAAAAGCTTACAAGTTACTCAAAATGTTAAAAATAGAGTTACCATATAATCTAACAATTCCACTTTCAGGTATATACCCAAGAGAAATGAAAACATATGTATGCAGAAAATCTGTCCACCAATGTTCAAAACATTATTATTCATAATATCCAAAAAGTGGAAAAAAGACAACTTTCCATTGATGGTCTGATGAATGGTCAAAGAAAATGTGAACTATCAAGCCAAAGCAATCTTGAAGAATAAAAATATAACTGGCATTATCGCAATTCCAGACTTCAAGTTATATTACAAAGCTGTAGTAATCAAAACAATATGTTACTGGCACAAAAGTAGACACTGAGATCAATGGAACAGAATAGAAAACCCAGAAATAAACTCACAGTTATATGGTCAATTAATCTTCAACAAAGCAGGAAAGAATATGTAATGAGGAAAAGACAGTGTCTTCAACAAATGGCTTTGGGAAAACTGGACAGCTACGTGGAAGGAATGAAACCACGTTCTTACACCACACACAAAAATAAACTCAAAATGGAATAAAGACCTAAATGTGAGACCTGAAGCAATAAAAATCCTAGGAGAGAGCACAGGCAGTAACCTCTCTGGCATTAGCCATAGCAACTTTTTCTAGATAGGTCTTCTGAGGCAAGGGGCACAAAAGCAAAAATAAACTATTGGAACTCCATCAAAATAAAAAGCTTCTGCACAGCAAAAGGAACAATACACAAAACTAAAAGGCAACCTGTGGAATGGGAGAAGATATCCGCAAATAACATATCCGACAAAAGGTTAATATCCAAAATATATAAAGAACTTATCAAACTCAACATCCAAAAAAACAAATAATCAAATTTTAAAAACAGGCAGAAGACAAGAACAGACATTTCTCCAAAGACAACATCCAGATGGCCAACAGGCACATGAAAAGATGCTCATCATCACTTACCATCAGGGAAATGCAAATCAAAACCACCATGAGCTATTACCTCACACTTTCAGAATGGCTAAAATCAACAACACAGGAAATAACAGGTGTTGGTGAGGATGTGGAGAAACAGGAACCCTCACGCACTGTTGGTGGGAATGCAAACTGGAGCAGACACTGTGGAAAATAGTATGGAGGGTCTTCAAAAAGTTAAACATAGAAATACCTTACAATCCAGCAATCGTACTACTGGGTATTTACCCAAAGAATACAAGAACACTAATTCAAAGAGATACATGCCTCCCTATGTTTATAGAAGCATTATTTACAATACTCAAGATATGGAAGCAACACAAGTGTCCATCAGTTGATGAACAGATAAAGAACAGTGATATAGATACACAACGGAATACTACCCAGCCATAAAAAAGAATTAAATCTTACCATTTGCAGTAGCATGGATGAAGCTAGAGAGTACTATGCTAAGTGAAATCAGTCAGAGAAACACAAATACCATATGATTTCACTCATACATGAAATTTAAGGAACAAAACAAATGAACAAAGGAAAGGCGGGGGGCAAACCAAAAACAGACCGTGAACTATAGAGAACAAAGTGATGGTTTCCAGAGGGGTGGTAGGTAGGAGGGGATGGGTGAAATAGGCGATGGGGATGAAGGAGGGTACTTGTGCTGAGCACAGGATGATGTCTGGAATTGTTAAATCATTATATTATACACGTGAAGCTAATGTAATACTGTGTGTTCACTGTACTGGAATTAAAACCTTAAAAATTTTTTTTAATTTAAAAAAAAAAGAAAATGTGGTCTATTCATATAATGGAATATTACTCAGCCATAATAAGGAATGAAGCATTCATACATGTTACATTAATGAACCTCAAAAACATTGTGCTTAGTGAAAGAAGCCAGTCACAGAAGACCGCACATTGTGTGATCCCATTTACATGAAATGTCCAGAACAGGTAAAATTTATGGAGACAGAAAGAGAAAGCAGACTACTGGTTGCCTAGAGTTGTGATAGGGGGAAGTGACTGGTGACTGCTAATGGGTTCAAGTTGTGCTTTTAGGGTGGCACAAATGTTTTAAAACTAGATTATTTTGGAACACCGAAAAAAATTAAATTTAATTTAAAAAAAGAAAAGAAGAAGAAACTAGGTTATAGCGATGGTTGCACAACTCTATAAATATCCTATCGGTGAATTAAACTGGTCAACTTCATGGTATGTAAATTATGTCTCAACAAAGCTGTTAAAATAAATTAATTTGAGATTAATTTACTAACATAATAAAATATAATATGATATAAACTTGTTGTGGAGACATTCTTCTAACAAAGATGAAAATCCAAAAGATATGATGAAATTATATACAAAAATGTGATTTCATAGAACTAAAGCAAAATGAAGACACCAACAAAATATATACAATGTAACTGTAAAAATCCTCTATCCCTCATTTACAAAGAACTCCTAAAAATTGATCAGAAAATGACAAACAACCCAATGTAAAATGGAGGAATAATTCAAATAGGAAATTCAAAGAAGAGAAAAATGCAATGTCCAAAAACATAAGAGGCAAAAGTGCTAATTAAAACAATGAGATTTACCATTTTGATCCAACAGTTTGGCAAAAATCAAGAAGTGTAGTAATATCTGAGACTAACAAGGATGTGGAAAAGTTGGTATGTTGTTTTTCAGATTGTTAATTGTTAAAACTCTTTTGGAGTATCCAGCAAAATTTTAAACCATAAATCCATAAACTCCACATTTTGAAATTTTATGTAAAAAAAGTCCTAAAACTTATGGCTGTTTGCATGCAAGTGTGAATGTATGTATACACACACACACACACACACACACACACACAAGGAGAAGTATTTGTTCTATACAACATTGCTTTTAAGTGCAAAACCCTGGAACCAATCTAAATGGCCATCAGTTGAATAAGATTTTGTCACTCCATAATTTTTACAGCACATCTACTAGAAAGATTGAGTTAGGACTATGTATTCACTTGGAGTAATGTTCATGATATCATCTTTAGAGAAAAAGTCAGTTGTAGAGTATGCTGTGTGATTCTATCTTTGTAAAAAAGAAAAAAAAAAAAAAGAATGTACGTTGCAAGCTGCCTTTCTCCTTCCCCTCTGGGATCTGCACTGGATGAGGGAAAGGACTTTTGCCTATTTTGTTCATTGCTCTATCGTCTGTGCCTGGTACAGTGCATGATACACAGGAGGTGCTCAACATTTTTAAAATTTGATGAACATAATGGTTTGTTTATTCTTGTAGAGCAAGAAAAGGGAAGAAATGTCCACTCTGGGCTATCAATTTCAGTTGCCTCTGGGAAAAAGGATCATTAAGAAGGAGGGGGAGAGAAGATCATTAGCATTTTCTGTATACATCTTTGTTTGGTCTCACTTGTTAACAACAAACATACTCATTTTATAATGAAAACTTCTTAAAAAGATCACGTTGAATGGGGAAAAGGAAGATAAGCTATGGAGGCCATCACATGGAGAGACACTCAACTCTTGTCATTCTACGCTTCCGGGTAGAAAAGCGACCAAGAGGCAAGAGCACACAGGGCTGTTCGGGGGACAGGGAGGGCTTTCGGGTATGGGACCAGGCGGATGTGGGGACCTTCTTTTCTTTACATTCAATTAGAAGCTGCTCATAGACACTAATGGCTTTACCCACTTAAAGAGACATATGAATTGAAAATTGCTCCTCTTGGTTTCAAATATGAATGCATTCACCGTTTGGTGTCTGGAACTAATTCTATTGTGTTTATACCAATGAGTGACCAGTAAGGAGTTGTCTTCACTCTCGTAGCTGCTCTTAGTCACTCTGGCTGGTTCTACTGGGTCACCAGTAGCAGTGCTCAGAATTCTCCTTGGAGCATACATACCTTTCGTAGAGAGGCCTCGAGCACGTTGCCCTAGTTACTTGGTACTGGAAAAATCGAGGGGTCATATCACAACACAGTTTGATGTAAGCTCCTCGATTGCTGCCTTCTTCATAATAATTAGAAGCAGAAAATACCGTAACAACCTGATTAAAGAAAAAGAGGGCCCGGTTCACGTAGAGTTAGTTCTCAAAAGGTCCTTCAGTAAAGGCAGAAATAGCTCCATTCCTAAAAAAGCAAAAAGCAAAGTTCCAAATCCATACAAATGACCCAAGTCTGACAGGACTTTCTGTGATTGCACTGGAGAGCGACAAGGCTTCAAAATCAGTGCTCGCGGGAATACGAACTTCCAGTCACTCACCCCCATAGGGCGTAGCCTTGCGATCCTATGTACAATTCCAGTTCCGTACCTTAGAAATCTACTTAACGCTTGGTTTTGCAAATTCTAATTTTCCAAGCTGGTAATGCCTTTGCTTTCTTTCCTTGTGATACTTGAGTGTTCAAAACAAAACTCCTCTACTATCAGTCTTTCTCTTTTGCTCCAAGTTGACTGATGTAGAGGGCTTGGGGCCGTGCACAAAACCAGTCCTTCAAGGGCAGAGAAAGTAGTGGCCCGAATACAGAGTGGCCAGGACCACTCTGCTGGGAAGGAACCAGCCCTGGGGCCATGGAGGGGGATGGCAGGGTAACCCTGGTCGTGGACAGGAGCTTGGGCCCAGTACAAAGAAACCTTAAATAATACTTGCCTTCACTATATCACAACCTGAGCAGGAGCTGAAAATGAACTAATTAGAGTTAAGAAAAGTGAAAGTCTTGAAATAGAGATACCACATGGTTTGGTATTCTGTTTTATTTACTGTTATTCTCTGGTAGAAAAGGGATATCCCAAGACAACCTGGAATGACAAACCCGCTCCTCAGCCCTCTTCCAGCCTTACCAGACACCACGGAAGGAGCACGACACGTTCCACTTTAGGGTCCGCAGCTACACTGACCACAGTGGGCGACTCGCTAGAGCTCACCTGCTCAGTGAGGAGAAGTGAGGCGGGTTTTGTGGCTCTGCCCTGCACAGGGCAAGTACAAAAGGTGAAGGAGAGCCTAGGCGGACTCACGGCTGCTTTTGACAGGCTCTGTGAGGGTAAGTACCTTCTCCGCCGTGTTGCACCAGAAAGCCGCCTTTTGATTAATAAAGAAGGTAGCCTGTCCGTGGGTGCGCTTAGAGCTACGTGTCAGAATTTCTATCTCTGGGATTCGGGAAGATCGGGGAAATAAGCCAAATAGCTCTTCGGGTGAGGCACACTGAGGCCCCTTCAGACAACCTGTGTGAACCTCGTAGTCTCCTGTTTCTGTGTACCAAAGCCTGGCCTCCTGTTTTGGTCCCGAGGAAGTCACCTTCCCATGAGCCTCTAGGTAAGATGCATCCTGGGAAGAAAAACTGCCTGGGGCGAGGATGTGTGTGATGCTGTCACCACCACTGTCCGCTTACCTTCCCGTCATGGCAGATTTCATACCCTTCGGGCTTACATTCATGAGACCTGATCAGCATCTTCAACTGAAACTTATTAAGAATCTTGGAGGTGATATCTGGTCCGAAATAACAGCCTCCTCCGCGACTTGTGTTTGGGTAACAGCCTCTTTTGCCTCTGGGATCACTCCACAGAATATCGACAACCTTTGGGCAACAAACCAGATTAGGCCGCTATTCATAAGCGAGAGTCTATCTTTCTAGATTCCAGCTTATTTGCCAGAAGTATTAACCCAAGTGATCCCAGAGTCTGTTCCTCGTTCCTCCTTCAAACTTGGTGCGGACTCATCTCCTCCATGAATCTTTTCCACAATACCTGTAATGCCCACAGTCACCGCAATCCCTGTCCACTCATTACCAATGACCAGTGCAGCCATACTTCATAATCACAAAGAGTCAGCCCTTGCTGTTTTTGGTCTGTCTTCAGAAATCTTTTTTTTTAAAGAGTTTATTTATTTATTTGACAGAGAAAGAGATCACAAGTAGACAGAGAGAGGGGGAAGCAGGCTCACTGCTGAGCAGAGAGCCCAATGCAGGACTTAATCCCTGAGATCATGACCTGAACCGAAGGCAGAGGCCTTAACCCACTGAGCCACCCAGGCGCCCGTCTTTAAAAATCTTATCATGGTCATTTCACAATTGCTGAATCTACCAAGGTCTTTTCTCTTTCTCTTTTTAAAAAATTTTTATTTATTTATTTGAGAGAGAATGAGAGTGACAGAGCACAAATGGGGAGCAGGGGAGAACAGCAGAGGGAGAGGGAGAAACAGGCTCCCCGCTGAAGAGGAAGCCCAGTGTGGGGCTCGATCCCAGGACCCTGGGATCCTACCTGAGCTGAAAGAAGACACTTAAATGACTGAGCCACGCAGGTGCCCCTCAAGGTCTTTTCTCTTAAAAGAGCTACATTGTCATGTTCCCAGGAGAAAACAGTTCCCCACAGAGAACACACATTAGAGGTTCTTAATATGTTCAAAGAGGTAAGGTAGGTCTCCCAGCTGTGGCTTTGGCCCTGGTTTTTGTCCTGTTGAGCAGATAGCGTGAGGAAGACTTTCTCCCAACACAAATAGAGACAAGTGTTCATCCAAGAGTACTTCCTAAGTCATCTCCTTCCCTTTTTGTCCCGTTGATAGAAACATTCTCAGTTCCACTGACTGGTTTCCACAATGTGTCCTCCTAAATCCACAAGTATTTCATTATCATAACATTTCCTTTTGGGGCTGAAAGAGGAAAACGCAGCCTACATGATGCCCAAGACTGAAGATCCAGGTTTCTAAGAATATTTTTCATTGTTCTGATCTACGTATAATGTTTCTTTATCTAAATTCCTACAGGCATTAAAGCAGTAGTGAGAAAAACTAACTTTGTCACTAAAGCTGTGCAGCCTCAAGGAAACTCTCAGAGTCTTAGTTTTCAGATCTTTAAAAGTGGGGGTTTGGGCCAGGTGACTTGTAAAGTATCTCAAAGTTCTAACAGAGTATGATTCTAAAAGTCTGTCTTTTCCTTGTTTTTCTTCTGCAGGCTTGAAGGACCATGCATTTGAAGTTCTGCAGTTACCCGGGCAAGTGCAAGTCACGTCTTAACAAGAGAACCAGAAATGGTTGTCCCAGTAAACGGGACTGTACACCCATTTATAGGTCTGATATTGAAGGGGAGCTGGAATTAAGTGAGGAAGAAGACAGTGAGGTGGAGAGAAGCGCAGAGCTGGTAGAAGAACTTTGGAATAAGCACCCGGTCAGAGCCCGTAGCAACCCTCCATCAGGCATGAACGAGACACTTGGGGAATTTTTGATGACTGACAGCAGTGAGAGCTAAAACCACCTAAAGAAGATTCATAATCTTTTCTCCCCCACTGAATTCCAACACTGGCACAATCCTACCCTACAAATAAATAAAATGGAGCCCATTTACCTTGGTGGTGTTTATGACAAAACCAACACTTGCGTTGGCATATCTGGCTCTTACACCATGAATTCATGTTTGGGGGTCCTGATTTGACCTTCAGTATAAGGAAGGCAGAGACATGGAACACAAGGAATGGTGTTTTATAAAGAGGGGATTTAGTTTTAAATTCTCGCATGAAATGCGTCATTTATCGCCAAAATTATCCCTGGAAAATCTTTTTAATTACCCTTAATGTGCACTACACATGATTTTATACACTAATATGGATGTGAGAATATTTTATATAAGTGATAGTATACAATGGGATAGATAAGCTTTATGACAATACAATTTTACATACTTTTCTCCTTTTTGTCATATACATGTAGTTGAAATTTACATAAATTCAACGTATGTGACGGACTCTATTAAACTAGAATAAGCACTGACCAAAGAGTTAGTTCCTCAAGCGTCCCCTGTGTCATGTTGGGCAAATCATTGAACCTATTTGAGCTTTAGTTGGCTCATCAATGAAATGAGAAAGATATAGCAAACATTCATTTTTCTTTGACTCAAAGTCAAAGGGGATAGGAGTTTTATAGAGATGAATGTCTTCAGAATTATCCATTCCATGAGTTTGCATTTTTTTTCTGTCTAGAACTCATTCACCTGACTCTGTTGAGCCAGACTGTAGCTATAATACAGATTTGATCCTGAGATCCTTTGTTGGTGAAAACAAATTCCTCTGCAGAGACAAGTCCCTTTCCTTCCAACAACATCCTCTCCTCTGAAATGCAAAGGCCTTGTGAGTGGTAAGTGCATGAAAGAACAGTTATTCACAACATCCTTTCCTGAAAATTTTCAGACCAAAAACTGGGAAACTTTTACTGAATGACAGTTCTTATAGGTCCTGGTCGACAAAAATCTATTCGTGTCTCAGCCTTTAAACCTCCTAAATCCAAACTAAATTCAGCAAGAAGTGCCCTGGGCTGTCAGCAGCTCTGAATAATCCAGTTCCCAAAAGTATGTCTTGGGGGAGAGTTAATAGCTCCGAAAAGGTGTATCTAAATGCTTCATTTCTAAGACACTAAAGCTACAAAGTAACTCTTCTTTTGTATTTTCCCTCAGTGATGTGTCCTCCTTCCAGCTTTGGGACGTGTCGTTTGAAAAGCTGTGCTCAACCCAAACCTTCCAGCCAAACCGAAACTGCTTTAGATGCCTACTCCTTGTTTCATTGCCTCTCTGGATAAGCAGACACTGACACAGTTCATTTTGTTTTTGAGACCCCCCAGCACTCTGAAGTCATATTTCCCTTCAGAAAAGGTGCATGGGCGTTAAAGTCGGACCAGGAATCCATCCTCCTCTGTGGTTCAGTGACTAGCCACGTGACTACAAACAAGCCATTTCCCTCTCGGGAGCCTGTGCGAGGAGGCCGACCACCCTATCTAAAATTACAGCTCCGCCCTCCACCTCCGGTTCTCCTGATTCTCCCAACCTTGTTCTGGTTTTAATTTTTTTCTGTAGAACTTCCCACTTAACATATTATATAATTGACTTGCTTTTTGTTATATTATTATTTAACTCCTCCCCCTAGAATGTAAGCTTCAGGAGGTATCAGACCTTTGGTCACTGACATTCTCCAAGTCTATAACAGGGCAGGTGTTGAATAAATACTTGTTAAATGAGTGAATTAAGAGAAAAGAGTCACTCAGGAAATAAATAATTAAAGTTATTTTTTAAACCTCTCTGGTCTTCTTGTTGCAAGTCAGTCCTAAAGGAAGGGTATCACGCTCGTCTCTATATAGTGACATAGCTATGAGTATGTAGATGCCCCACATATCAGTGAACATAAGATAAAACTTAAATTATAGCACTCTGCCAAGAATCATGCACTTCTGTGAGTAGGGGACAAATAAGGAGCCAATGACCTTTATTATAACATAGCTCATAGCTATGGAGTAATAAAGTATGAAATCTGATTTTCTCTGAAATTTCAACTCTAGCTAACTAAAGTATGCATGCCCACTTTGTACCAGCAACTGAGAGGAAAAAAATGTAAGGGTACAAGTGAAATTATTAAAATAATGGGAATGAGATTCTGGTCCATTTTATCCAGCGATGTATATGGAGTCGGCAAGATGCCTACATGTCTATATCATTGGGGTGGTGGGAAGTTCTGTTACAGAATAATGATCCCCAGTCTCCTCCTTCCCCTTTCTTAAGACTCCGTTCTCTCTAGAATTCTAACTTATCTAGGCTTCCAGAGGCCAGAATTTTTTTTTGTGAAACTCCAATCTCTTTGGCATCATCCTTTTTATTCACCATCCTAGAAGTGCTTGTTCTAACCTTTAGTCTTTGGAATTTGGATCTCAGAATCTAAGGCAGGGTATCCTTTGCTACTTGCTATAGGTTGTCTCTTGTTCTTCTCTATTTTTAAATACTTTGGATGCACAAGCTATTGATGAATTCTGTTTCTCTCTTCCTACCTCTTCTCCCTCCCTCTCGATCTCCCCACCTCTCTCTCTCTCCTCACTGATTAGAAGATATTTTACAACAGAAATCACATTTTAGTCAACACTTTCAGCAGTCAAGGTATAAGAGTACAGAGTCAAGAAATAGAGGCTTCTTAGAGGTAAGCAATCAGAAGAAAGCTGATGGTTCCACGATACTAGTAGCAAGAGTGGACCAGACCAAAGTTTCAGCGACAGAATCAGGGAAAGGGGCAGATGAAAAAAGCCTCCGACAATGATTGTACCACCGGCAGCTAAGGAGACGGACTTTAATAGGATCAGATTGTGGAGCTATTCCTGAGCCCTGGGGCATTGTTAAGAACAATAGCACAATTAGCCGGCAATTAGTGAAGACCCACAGCTGCGTCTGATACAAATAGAGGCAGGTGCACCAAAGCTTAGAGGGAAATAAGGGAAAGAGACCATAAAAGAGAGCCTACCTAAAACTACAATGACTGCACGCCCACTCCCCCGGCCCCCACACCCCGGTTGTGAGGGAAACTGTGCGTGCTGCAGGCGACCCCACTGAAGAGTGACATCAGAGAATACACACTGAGAGGTCGGTCACAGACTTCACTGACCTAGTCAAGTCAAGCACTAAACAAATGAGTGAAAACGCAAATAACAACAGTAAGCCCCAGAGGAGCATGGGAATAACTATCTAGAGTTACTACAATATATTACTTAAAACGCCCAGTTTTCAACAAGAGTTATAGGACGTGCAAAGAAAAAAACACACAAGGAAAAACAAGCAGGCAATAGAAATCTCCTTTGAGGGGAATAGGTGTTGACTTAGCAGACAAAGATTTCAAAGCAACTATTATAAATATATTCAAAGACAGATAAATATATTCAAAGACAGACAGATATATATATCTGTATATCTATCTATATATATAGCACTCCACTTAACAGGAATCAAATACATTTTCTTCTCCAGAGCACATGGAGCATTCTCCAAGATAGACCATACACTATCCATTAAAAAAAGCATCACTATGTTTTCAAAGGATTTAAATCATATAAAGTATGTTCTCCAACCAAAATTGAATTCAAGTACAAAGCAGTAAGAGAAAGAAATATGAGAAATTCACAAATGTGCAGAAACTAAATAACATGCTGCTAAATAATGTATGGGTTAAAGAAGAAATCACAAGAAAAATTAGAAAATACTTAGAGATGGATGAAAATGAAAGCAAAACATGGCAAAACTTACAGGAAGGAGCTAAGGTAGTAGTTACAGGGAAATTTATAGCTTCATTACAAAAGGCAAGTGATCTCAAATTAATGACATTACCTTTCACCTTAGGAAACTAGAAAAAGAAGAGCAAACGAAATCTAAAGCAAACAGAAAAAAGGAAATAATAAAGATTAGGGTAGAAATAAACGACGGAGAGAATAGAAAATAATAAAGGAAGTCAATAAAACCAAAAATTGGTTTTGTGAAAAGATCAATAAAATTAACAAACCTTAGTGAGTCTGACCAAGGAAAAAAAGAGACTCAACTGGCTAAAATTAGGAATGAAAGAGGTGACAGCATTACAGACTCTATGTGTATTTAAATGTATATATATTACAAACAACAAGATAAATTAGATGAAATGGACAGATTCCAAGGAAGAGAAACTATCAGGATTACCAATATACAAACTACTCAAGAAGAAATAAAAAATCCGAATAGAACTATAGCAAGAAAGAAGACTAAGTTGATAATTTTTAAGAATTCCTACAAAGAAAAGCCCAGGCTCAGATTGTTTCACTGATGAATTCTACCAAACATTTGAAGAAAAATTATCAGTCCTTCATAAACTCCTTCAACAAGTGGAAGAGGACCTAATGCTTCCCAACTCATCCTATGAGGCCAGTCTTATGCTAATACCAAAGACATCACAAGAAAACTACAGAACACCCTTATGAATATAGATGTAAAATCCTTTTAAAAAATTAGCAAACTGAAGTGAGCAGCATATAAAATGTATTACACACCATGACTAAGTGGGATTTGTCCCAAGAATGTAAGGTTGGTTTAAATCAATCAATGTAATACGTCATATTGATAGAGTAAACAGTAAACCCCATAAGATCATCTTAATAGATACAAAAAAATCATTTGACAAAATCCAACACTCTTCCATGATAAAAACATTCAACAAAGTAGGCACAGAAGGGAACCTCCTCATGATGAAGGGCAGCTAATATACTTAATGGTGAAAGATTGAATGCCTTCCTCTAATATCAGGAATAAAAAAAAAGGATGTCTATCTACTCTCATCACTTCTATTCAACGCCGTACTGGAGGTTCTAGACAGGGTTATTAAGGAAGAAAAAGAAATAAAAGGCAGCCAGTTTGGAAAGGAAGAAGCAAAATTATCTCTATTCACAGATAACATGCTCATGTATATAGAAAGTCCCAAGGAACCACTAAAAATCATTAGGATGAATAAACAGGCTTATCAAGGTTCATAACATGAGATCAGTATACACAAGTCAACTGTATTTCTAAAGGTAATTTAAAAAACAATTCTGTTTTACAATAACATCACTTGAGCAAAACAAGTGCCTCAGTGTACATTATTAAAAACACTGTTGAAATTAGAGATCTAAATACATGGCAAGACATTCCACATTCATGGAATTGGGTATATAATATTGTTAAGATTGCAATAAGAACACAGATTCAAAGCAATTCCTACCAAAATCCCACCTGTCTTTTGGTAGAAATTGACAAGATGACCCTAAAATTCATACGGAAATTCAAGGGACCCAGAACAGTCAAAACAATCTTTTTTTTTTTGCCTTGAAGATTTTATTTGTTTATTTGAGAGAGAGAGAGTGGCAGAAAGAGAGAGCATGAGAGGGGAAGGGCAGAGGGAGAAGCAGAACCCCAGCTGAGCAGGGAGCCCCACTGCCACTGGCCCGATCTGGACTCCAGGATCATGACCTGAGCTGAAAGCAGTCACTCAACCAACTAAGCCACCCAGGTGCCCCCAGTCAAAACAATCTTAAAAAAGAATAACAAAACAAAGAACTCACATTTTCCAGTTTCAAAACTTTCTACAAAGCTACAGTATTCAAAACTGTGTAGTGCTGATTAAGAGTCTAGAAATAAACCTTCATATTTATGGTCTGTTGATTTTTGATAAAAGTGCCAAGAAAATTCAATGAGAATAAGTGGTATTGGAATAACTGGAGATCTACATGTGAAAGAATAAAGTTAGACCCCTACCTCCCAGCATACGCAAAAATTAACTCAAAATGGATTACCCAAATGTAAGTGCTTAATCCATAAAATTCTTAGAAGAAAATATAGCGATAAATCCTCATGACTTTGGGTTAGGCAAAGGTTTCTTAGATAGAACCCCCAAAACACTAGTAAAAAAAATAAATATTAGATTTCATCAAAATTAAAAACTTTGGTGCTGCAAATAATACTATCAAGAGAAGGAAAAGATAGCCCACAGAATAGGAAAGAATATTGGCAAATAATAAATCTGATAAGGAATTTATATCCAGAATATATGAAGAACTCTTACAATGCAATAATAAAAAGATAACTCAATTTTTAAAATGAGCAAAGGATCTGAATAGATATTTCTCCCAAGATATACAGATGGCCAATTAGCACACGAAAAGATGCTCAACATCATTAGAGAAATACCAAAACCACAACAAATCAAAACCATAATAAGATTCGACCTCATACCCACTAGGACAGCCATAATCAGAAGGAGAGGGACGCCTGGGTGGCTCAGTGGGTTAAAGCCTCTGCCTTCAGCTCAGGTGATGATCCCAGGGTACTGGGATCGAGCCCCACATCGGGCTCTCTGCTCAGCAGGAAGCCTGCTTCCTCCTCTCTCTCTGCCTGCCTCTCTGCCTACTTGTGATCTCTCTCTGTAAAATAAATACATTAAAAAAAAAAAAAGGGAGAGACAATTTCTTAGTGAGAATGTGAAGAAATTGGAACCTTCATACATTGGTAATGGAAATGTAAAATGGTGCAGCTCCTTGGGAGAACAGTTTGGAAGTTTCTCAAAATGTTCAACTTAGAATTATCTTATGACTGAGCAATTCCATTCTCAGGTATATACCAAAGAGAAATGAAAACCTATGCCCACAGAAAAACTTTTATGTCAGTGTTCATAGCAGCATTATTCATAATAGCCAAGAAGCAGAAACAACTCAAATGTCTACCCACTCATGAATGAATAAACAAAATGTAGCATATCCACACAACGAAGTACAACATGGATGAACCTCAAAACACCGGGCTGAGTACAAGAAGCCAGACATATTGTATGGGTCCATTTCTATAGCATGTCCAGAATAGGCAAATCTATAAAGACCAAAAGTAGATTCGCGGTTGCCTAAGGCTGGGGTAGGGGGTGATTGGGGAGGGAAGGGGGAGTGACTAGTAATAAGTATGGAGTTTCTTGTTCGGGTGATGAAAACATTCTAAAGTTAGATCGTCATGACAGTTGCTCAACACTGTAAATATACCGAAACCACTGAATTATATACTTTTTTTTTTAAGGTTTTTATTTATTTATTTGACAGGCAGAGATCACAAGTAGGCAGAGAGGCAGGCAGAGAGAGGTGGAAGCAGGCTCCCTGCTGAGCGGAGAGCCCGATGCGGGGCTCGATCCCAGGACCCTGAGATCACGACCTGAGCCGAAGGCAGAGGCTTTAACCCACTGAGCCACCCAGGCGCCCCTGAATTATATACTTTAAATGCAAGTCTATCTCAATGAGACTATTAAAAGTATAGTGATGAGTTCAGAAAGAAGAGTTTGCTTATAAAGGTAAGTCACTTGTTATGCATCTAAGGGACAGCATCATCAATGCGGCATCTTCACTGCCACTTTGGTGAACACTTTGATACCTACCTGTTCCCATTCATGCTTTGGTAACTGTTCGGAAGGGGATTCATTTGTAACATTTGCACCTGTCTTAGTTTTCTTCAAGTCAGTATCATGGTCTTCATCTACGGAAATTGGTGGCATCAGCACAGATTTCATCTACAAAACAAATTCACACTTTAGCCAAACCCTGTGCTTCACGTGCTGCTGGCAGAAACTCCAGTGCCCATTGCCGCTCTGTCTCTATTGCTGTGCCTCAGCTGATGAAGGTGGTGTGTTTTTCCAGGCCACTTAGGATCAGGATACTTTGCCCAGCTCCTCCCTAAAGTTCCACGCCACCATTTTCTCCTGGGAGTGCTGCTAGCCATCCTTTCTCCTACCCTCTGCCAGGGAGCTGAAAGAATTCTAAACTAGAATCTCAATCTTATAGAATCTTCCTTCTCTGTTCCTCTGCACTGACAGCCCCGCCGACCTACCCACCTTACAAAAGGCCTTTGATGAACCTAGAAGGTGGTTGTCATCAGGTTTCCCCCAACCCTACTCCCTGCTGCCATTACCAACCATACCACAACAGCCGGCATAAACCAGGAAGTGTGGTCATCCCTACCCTTAGAGGGTCCTAAGGGATGGGAAAGTGGAGAAAATGGGAAAGGTATAAAATTGGACCTGAAAATCTACTTTTGCATTTCATTTGGTAGAGTTCCAAAGTCTTAAACCTTCTACTTTTGCTACAGTTCAATTATATTTAACACAATAAGTATGTGCTGTCAATTCAACCTCATTCTAGGAGGGGTAGAGGACACAAGAAGTACACAAGTCCGATTTCTATCTTTAAAACCAGGCTTATGAGTGGGTGGAATGATGACCCCCAAAGGAGATAAAATTTGTTTTCCTGGGAAAACTCCTGGCCTAAAAACTTCTCCCCAAGGGGTGTCTTGGTGACTAAAATTCAACCCTCAGTTCCAAGTATCAGGAAAGAGAGGAGAGAGTTGGAGGGAGAGTGCTTTGTGTTCAGAGCTTACTCTATGCTGTTTTCTTCACCTAAATAATTATATTTAATCCTCCTAACAATTCAATATAGTAGGTATTTTTAGCTTCCATGCACAGGGGCAGAAACTGAGGTTTCAAAACCTTTCATACCCAGTCACCCAGCCAGGAAATGGCAGAAGTAGGATGTAAAGCTGGTTTGGGCTGTCTGATGTCAGAGCTTCATGAACGTTACTAAGTCAAGGTGGCTCTCACCCTTTGATCTCCGCAGAGAGAGTAACAGCCATTCCAGAGACATGGTCTTTTTTTTTTTTTTCTTTTTTCCTAAGTAGGCTCCACAACCAGCATGGAACCCAACTCGGGGCTTGAACTCATGACCCTGAGATAGAGACCTGAGCTGAGACCAAGAGTCAGAGGCTTAACCAACTGAGCCACCCAGGCACCCCAAGCCATGTTCTTCATAGCTCAGAAAGCTCTAGAGAGGGCTGGCTGCTCAGGCTCCCTTCAGAAAAGGGTAAGTTTTCAATCAGATCAATTGTAGTGGCTGCCATGGCTGATGAGTGCTGTTGTCGCATGGCGGGTGGTGGTAGAGCACGGCACTCCTGCTGCGTGCTTGACAATACCTGACTGACTAAAACATCATGTTCCCTCACTCTTGCCTAGAATCACGTCCACTCGTTATGTTAAACTGGCTATCTTGATCGAAATGTTTTACTAGTTTGACTATTTGCTGATACCATGAGAAAGAAGCCTTCAAAACAGGGTGACCTTAAAATTTACTGCAGTTGGAGTACTGAGAATAAAGGGAGACACTATTAACAATTACCAGAACAACAGGTACAAGCCAGGAGATATGGTCATGGTTGGGTGAGGTTGGAGAGGAGGGATGTAAAATCAGGAAAGGGGTGGTAAAGAAGTTTCTATCCAGTTTTGTCTTCAGTCTTCCCTGCTTTGGTCTTAAATGTCTTAGGACACAGCCAACAAACACTGATTAAGTATTCACTACATCATCCGAAGGGGCACATTCACCCGAATGTTTATAGCAGCAATGTCCACAATAGCCAAACTATGGAAAGAAACTAGATGTCCAACAACAGATGAATGGATAAAGAAGATGTGATATATATATAGATATATATATATATATAATGGAATACTATGCAACCATCAAAAGAAATGAAATCTTGCCTTTGCGACGACAGGGATGGAACTAGAGGGTATTATGCTTAGCGAAATAAGTCAATCAGAGAAAGACAATTAACATATGATCTCCCTGATATCAGGAAGTTGAGAGGCAATGTGGGGGGTTTAGGGGGTAGGAAAGGAATAAATGAAACAAGATGGGATCGGGAGGGAGACAAACCATAAGAGACTCTTAATCTCACAAAACAAACTGAGGGTTGCTGGGCAGCGGGGGGGGGGGCGGTAGGGAGAGGGTGTTTGGGTTATGAACACTGGGGAAGGTATGTGATATGGTGAGTGCTGTGAAGTACAAACCTGGCGATTCATAGACCCATACCCCTGGTGCTAATAATATATTATATGTTAATTTAATTTTTTTTTAAAAAACATAGATTATAAAAAAGTAAAAAAACAAAAAGTATTCACTGCATCTTAGGTGCTGGAGTTATATCAGTGAATGAGAGAAGCAAGGGAGGATAGAAAATAGTAGCCCAATTCTACACTTAGTTCTGGTAACTGTTACGAAGGATATGTACAAGGGGCTTGAGAGCAGATAGAAGCGGACCTGACGTAGTCCGGAGGTCATGGAAGGCTTCCCAGAGGAGGGGGTCCATTTAAGCTGATATTAAAAGGATGAGAAGAAGTTAGCAATAATACTATCTTTCATATGTATATAAAGTAATAAGGGTTCCAGAAACTCAAGGTGAAGAAGGGTCACACTTCTGTCTATACCAAATTAAATTCCAGCTCTAGACTCTACTTGTCTGGATTGGTTGGAAGTTGACTCTCAGTCTGGAGGGGTAAGGGTTCAGGCTTCTCACTAGGACCGTATCTGGTCATCTGGTTCTGGAGCTGCTATTGGTCCTCATGCTCACAGGGCACATCCTATGCCCCTGGTCTGCGGGCTTTGCCTGGGCTCTGGTAAAGGACCCAGATAATTCCAGTCACTCGGCAAGACCCAGCCGGAGCCCTTTGCTAAGTATGGGAGCTTTACAGGCCACACCCAGCCTCTTCCCTTAGAGGTTCTGTACCTGTTCTTGCTCTGTTTCTGTTGTACTGAATCTGATTACTCAGTTTAAAACATTTCCCCCCAAAATACCCTGAGCCATTTGGAGGATAAGAGAAGTCATAGCAATTCAGAAATAAATTGCTCTATGACTCCATCTATATGAGACACCCCGAGTAGTCAAATTCAGAGACAGAAGATAGAATGGTGGTCAGCAGGGGCTAGGAAGAGGGGAGATTGGAGAGCTGCTGCTTAATGGGTAGAGTTTCAGTTTGGGAAGATGAAAAATTCTGGGGATGGATGGTGGGGATGATGGCACAACAATGAGAATGTACTTAATGCCACTGAGCTCTACACTTAAAAATGGTTAATTAAAGTGGTTCATTTCATGTTATATATATTTTACTACAACATTAATCAGAAATTTTAATTTTAAAATATCAGGATTCTTCACTTTTAGAAACTATATGAAATGCCAACAGTTCCTCGTTTTCCACTTACATCATGAAGTTAAAAAAAATACATTTGCCATATGTAGAAGTTACCCATTCAGTTCTTTATCTTGCAATCATAGATTTTCTTAAAATTTGTACTAATTTTTGCAGAGTTATGACAACTACTAAAACGTAAGTGAATACAAAATTAGAAATGCAAAGAGGTGTACATCCCCTTATAAAAACTCTGAGACAAGATTTATGTAAACATTTTTTCTTACTTTGTGTCTTTCTATACGGTGGAGCAAATTCAAGTCTGTGGACTCTGATATCCCACCATGTATGACCAGGATTTCATTGTCAATGATTGTACCAATTGGGAGCCAGGTATAGACATCTTCTAAGATTTGTAAGATTTTCTTTCCATGTATCTGTAGGTAAGAACTGGAGTAAGTTTTGTTTTTTGGTAAGTTCAAGTTTATCACAAAAAGCAACAGCTTTCATGCCACACAAAGGAGTCATGGAGGCACCAACCCACCAGCATGCATTAATCATGTCTTTTTATCCTACTTTTGTTTGTTTTTTATTCTATGTTTTTGATACTTTGACAACTTGGCTCCTTGCTGACCCTAGAGGAGAGATTGCTCTTCCCAGAGGTAGCTAATTCCTAGAAATCATAGATGATTTACCTTTCATATGCAGATGAGTGTCTTTCATATGCAAACTAACCAATCCAGAGCCCACTCCTTTACTCACTTAGAGTGAGTACAAATCTCTTCCTTTGTGATAATCATTTCTGTATCTGCATGTTTACCATAAAACAAATCCTGGGTACATTTACAATAATAGAATATGTTTGTATCTGTGCTGAAACTAACAATGAAAGTCACAATGAAAAAGCTTGGTTTGGTCCAGGAAGAAAATGAGGCCTCTACCCTGGCCAGAGCTTCCTGCTGTGCTTTTATTTATTTATTTTTTTAAACCCATCACCCTTCCCAAAGGCTCTTTTTTGGTAGGTCTATGGAAAAGCAGCAAAGAGAATGCATTAAAAAAAAAAAAAAAAAGTATGAGTCTTACCTTATATTTATGCAAAATTTCTTTTGTGAAGCCATACCTGAAAAAAAAGAGAACAATGGTGTTCAAAACTGATTAAATGTTGATAACTCCTACATACATCATGCAAAAAGGGGACCTACTGACATCTCATTATCACAAGTATGAAGAACTCAGAGTTTAGTTGAAACTATTACTTACCCAAGTTTTTGCTAGGCATGATGGGAAAGAACAAAAGCAGCCAATGACATAATCCCTACTTGGAAGGAGCTTATAGCATGGAGAAGGAAGATAAGCTTTCATGAAACAATTTTCAAGGCAACTTAAGAAATATGTGCTAGGTATAGGATGTGTAGCTGCTGTGAGTACTCGGAGAAGTGTGCCGTGGCAGCTGGGGGAAGCTGTGTGGGAGAATGCTTTTCATTTAGATAGAATTTCTCAGACATCCTAAATCTTTGAGTAAATGAATGAAGGTGCAGGAAAGTGGAGGGGTTGGGGGGAGAGACAGAACAGAGACAAAGAAAAGACTAGAAGACAACAGTTGGCCCTTTACACTCTCTCTGATATAGTTCATGTAATAGTATTCAATATTTTAATAGAAAGAGTCAGGAATTTTCATGCCTAAATAGTAATCATGAAGGGAACGTCAATGATGGAAATTTTTAAAATGACTTTCCCTTGCCTTAGGATAATCATATATATTCTTAAGACCCAAGAAAGGGAAGTCAGAACACAGCATATTTATTGCAGGTTTCCATGCAAATCATGTCATGTCAGGCTTCTACAGTGTAACTTCGTGTTTCCCGAGATGAATTTAGTCCTGCACTCGCCAAAGGTGTCTATGTTGTTAAATCCAATGGACACCTTGCAGTCTTCATGTTTCTTGCCCTCTCTGAAGCACTAAATATAGTTGACTACATCATCCTTCTGGAAAACTTTTCTTCTCTTGGATTCTGTGACAATAAACCCTCTTGGTTTTCCTTGTACCTTTCTGGGTATTCTACATCTCCTTTGCAAGTTTTTCTCTGCCTCACCTTGAATGGTGGCATTCCTTCGGATTCTGTCCTAGGCCCTCTTCTCCCTTCACTCTCTCTTGGCAATCTCATCCTTGCCTAGGGCTCTGGGTACTATGTATGTGCCAATGTTGCCAGACAATGCTGCAGGCCACACTGCATTTCTGCGCTCTGGACACAAATATTCAACTACCTAATCAAAAAGCCCTTCAAATCACCTTACCCCAAAATGAACTTACCATTCATTCTCATCTCAACCTTTTCTTCTTGTCATGTTCCCAATATCAGTGAACAATGCCAATGTACTCTCACACTTAAGCCGGAAACCTGGAGGTTATCCTTGATTCTCTCTTCTTTCAAGTCCCCCATATCACATTACCACACTTTATTTTTTCTTTTTTTTTTTTTTAAAGATTTTATTTATTTATTTGACAGACAGAGATCACAAGTAGACAGAGAGGCAGGCAGAGAGAGAGGGAAGCAGGCTCCCTGATGAGCAGAGAGCCCGATGCGGGACTCGATCCCAGGACCCTGAGATCATGACCTGAGCCGAAGGCAGCGGCTTAACCCACTGAGCCACCCAGGCGCCCCACATTACCACACTTTAAACCATCACTGCCTAAACTCCTCTTGAATCTGTCTACTTCTTTGTATCTCCATCCCTACTACCTTAGTCTACATGAGAACCCATCATCTATCTCTTCAACTACCTCCTAATTGGCCTCCCACATTCAAATATTTCTTCCTGCTGCATTTACAACACAAATTTTATGATACTCTTCTATGATTATTGTTGTTGTCCTTAGAAAAAAGTTCTAAATTCCTTTGCATGATCCAACCATGTCTTATGTCTCCAGCCCTGTTAGGGACCATCCTGTCCCTCAGTCTGTGCTCCTACCCTCCTAAAGTTCTTTCAAATCTAAAAAGTCTTGTCTCATATTCTACCCAAGTTGTCCCCTCAGTGTGGAATATCATTCCTCATCTCTGAATTGCCTAGTTCATCCTCAGGTTTCAGGCTGATACCATACTTCTACGGGAGAACCTTCTATCACCCCCCAGACAAGTTAGGTCCCCACTTTACAAACTTATCACACTTGAAAAACCTGTTCAATGTAAGTCTTCCCTGCTAGATGTAAACTCTGTGAGGGCAGAGGCCATGTCTCTTTCATTAACCATCATAGACATGAGATAAATATGATTGGCTAACTGAATAAATGAAAGGATGAGTGGCATGCCCAAATAAACCTTTTGAGCTACATTACATATAAAGGACCTCTGAGAACAGTCTGGGACTTTTTTCTTCATAGTCTTAGCTATGTCTTAGCTAAGTCTTTCCATACTTGAAACATTATAATTGAAAATCTCTACTCAAAGCCAGGGGGTGAAACTGCCCCAAAGGCAAGACTCATCAGTTGCTGAGCTTTTATCAAGGCACCCAAAAACCTAGAAATAAAAGCATGAGACACGTCATGCCTTCTACTGCCCTAGACCAAACTGGTAAAGGAGGGGTGAAGGAAGAAGAAAGAAGGGAAAGGGGAACATTTATCACCGTCTATGTCTTCCAGCAAAATTTGGTAAGCTATTTAACCAATCTTTATTCCTCAAATCTCCAGTGAGTCAGATAGTTGAAATGCTACATTACAGCTGTTCTCAAATGTGTTTATGAACAATTATGCCAGAAGCAATCACCATGTCATAAAAAATATACACATCAGTGAAAAACACAGCACTAGTTTCTGAGACAACATCTGAGGCAAGCCAAAAGTGTATCAACAGAGTGATCTCATCTAAGCCTGCTCATAGAAACTACCACACCTCCAAAACTGGCCTAACACATCCATCCAGGAAAAAATTTGGCCTATGATGGGAGGCATGGGAGGAAGAGAAAGAACATAACAGAAGGGAGAAGCAAGGACTGAACTAGACGAAAATATGGGAAGAAGACTTCAGAGTAAAGTATACTCACTCAGTAGAAGACTGAGGTAGTAAATTGAGGTAAGACTTGAGGGTCTCCCTTGAGATTCTCCTCAGCCCTACTTCTCTACACTCACTTGTAACTCTCTGCTAGGAACTAAACCTGGCAGTATTTTTCAGTATGGGAAACAAAAGAGGAAAAATCTAAAGACCTAGGTTACCTCAGATTCATCATAAAATCTTCATGGTTCCCTCTGTTCAAGTGCAGGTCATTGGGGTAGACAAGAAAACTCACAAACAGGATCATTAGGATCTCCATGGAATGTTTTCCTCGATCTACAAAATCACCATTAAAAATATATGAGTTGCTCCCTGAGGGGAGACCATTCTGTGGAAGGAGGAGAGGGGGGGAAACAAGCAGTTACAAGAATGTACTTTTAAAATAAGGCTTTGTACTTAACTTCCCTGTGAAGATGGAGAAAAGAGGCAGAATCACTTCCTCCACTGGGAAAAATCTGCTCACTAACTTGATGTAGTTCCACTCTTCTAGGTCAGGCATCTCCTGGAAGGGACTTTGGAAGTGAAGCATTAGCTTGGGGTAGGAAGCTTCCAGGGGACATGGTGACTGCTTATTCTACCCACTACCTACTCTGAGTTTTCTCTGAAAGGAGCTGATTTTTGTCCTATCAAAAATGGCTAACCTTATCTCTTCTTTCTCCCTGGAAAAGAGGGAAACTTCCATCCAAGGAAGAACACTGGACCAAGAGCTGGAAGTCTTGCATTCTAAGAGGCCCTCTGTTTAATTTCTTTGGGCTGTGAATCCCTCAGTGTACAAAAGGGAGATGACACTATATCCACCCCCTCCCCAGATCAAACAAGAGAATGGATATGAAAATACCCGGCGGTGTAAGGTCCGGCGCAACTGTGAGCAGGGCTGACATATCAGCAGCGCACTCTGATACAACTGCACCAGGTGTTGACAGCTGGTAGATACTATGACCGCTCACTGGCCGGGCCACATTAGTTGTTAAATATTTTGATTCTCACTCCTGAGTATGAGATAATACTTTTAAACACAGTGTTAGTAGGAAAAAAGAACTGGGATCAGGACAGAGGTCTGGTCTTTATAGCAGCTATTGATTCATTTATTTCTGTACTACGAAACTCCAAGACAAAACAAACATGACAGACCCATGCCTGGTGGGAAATGGTCAAATGCATTTCTACTGCACTGTAAAATAAATCTGAACGTTGAAAAAATACATCACAAAGAGAAAAATTTAAGTACCCATATGTCCAAATGTCTGTCCCCCTTCAAAAAATTACCTTCAGGAAATAAAATACATATTCTAGTTACATTAGTCTTTTTCAAACTATTTTCAGATTCCTCTTTTTTTAGATTTCACACTACAAAAGAAAATCTTACCACCTTATAGTCACTGTCCTAGTATTTATATATATTTAAAGTTATTCATACCCATATAGAAGAACTAGTTTAAAAATATATAATATGGATTGCGATATGTTAACTCAGGGATTCCGCAAATCATCGTGCAATGTAACATGTTCAATGTAACAACAGGAAACGAACAAGCAAGCAAGCAGCAGTACAGCGTCCTAGACCAGAAATAAGAAGACTTATTGGCTAGTCCACCTCTACTATTACCCATGTGTTCTTGGGTAAATTCTTTAATCTTTATGCGTTATAGTTCCCTCATCTGTAAAATGGGGATGATAACTTCCATACTTACCATACAGGGCTACTCTGAAACTCGAATGAGGCTGTGTGTATAAAAGTGCATGAAAACCATACAACACCATACAAATGAGAAGATGCATTTTATTATGACCTCCATGTTATTTCTAATTTTAAGATCCCATTATTTTATATTTTCTTATACATTAATTCATATACCTTCATGAATTTATTGGGCTTAAATAGTGTGAGCCTGTTGCAAAAACATAGGCTATTCCTTATCATAACTTAAAGAAAAAAGGATGGATTCTGCATTCTGATAACTCTTCCTTCCTCTAGCCTTCAGCTGGCTGGGATGAGTAAACCAGAGTAATTTGAGGGGTGTTAAAGGCTATAGGTTCTCTTGGGATTCCAGGCCTGAAGGGGACAAGAGGAGCAGCAGTACAGTGTCTTGGGGTGAGAACATGGAAGAACTAGACCTGATGGGATCTGGACCTTATTTCCTCTCCCTTGATTAGGGGAAACCCTGACTCAGAGCATTAGTGTGGTCCTGGTTTAGGGGAGAAGGAGCTGGATCCTACTAGAAAAAGTGTAGGGAACTTTGTCTCTATGTCTGAAGTTAAAAGAAAACTAATACTTGCATTTAGGGATCCCTAGGAATGTACAGACTTCCTCTCACACTCTTGATACAACAGTAGCAACTAATGTGCCTTCAACTATAGACAGGCTTAATCTAGCTTAAGCAGAGAATAGAAAATGAGAATAACCTAGCACTTAAGGGGATCCAGTAACCAGAGAGAGACAGACCAATCAGATCTGCTAAAGTTCTAACCCCTAATGAGCTAGAATTGTTGGAGGACAGAAGAAAATGTTATTTTAAAAAAATGAGAGGACCATAAAATAAAGAACAAAAAGTTAATAATTCTTGCCATTTAAAGTGTGATAGCCAAATTTAAAATGTCAATAGATTAGAGCTAATTAAAAGAAACAGAGATTGGAAAATACATTATTTTTTAAAAATATTTTATTTGTTTACTTGACAGAGATCACAAGTAGGCAGAGAGGCAGGCAGAGAGAGAGGGGGAAACAGGCTCCCCGCCGAGCAGAGAGCCCAACGCAGGGCTCAATCTCATGACCTGAGCTGAAGGCAGAGGCTTTAACCCACTGAGCCACCTAGGCACCCCAGAAAATGCATTATTGACACGAAAAAGCAAACAGATGAAAAATCTCTCATACAGATTAAAAAGCAAAATGATGGAAATCATAAGGCATGAGTAAGAAATTAGAGATCAAGCCAAGAGAACTAATATTCTAATAATCATTCCAGAATCAGGAAAAAGGAACAGATGGAGTAGAGGCAATAATTACATAATAAAGAAAGGGAGATTTCTATGGTTAAAAGGGGGCTTCAGCCTGAAGTCTCAAAGAGCTCCTGAATCCTATGCACAACTGATAGGGGAAAAAATATTCCTATTACCAGGTAAGAGTCTTAGAAGCTACTAGAGAGAAAGAGCAAGTTACAAAGGGAAAAGAATCATCCTGGCATTAGACTTCTCATATCCAGGAGTGGGAGGTAGAAGATGGCAGAATAAATCTACAAATTAAAGACAGAAAAGGACTGTAAACCAAGAATTCTGTATTGGACAGAACAGCATTAACTTCTTAGGGTGATATATAATATTTGCAGATGTGTAAAGGATCAAATATCAGCAACAACATAGATGATCATCAGAGTAGAAAAAAGACATATGTGAGTATGCAGTGATCTAATACCACAAAAGCAATGAACATGCATTGATGGCTTGTTATGTGCTAGACACAGTTTTGGTGCTAGAAACACAGAAGTAGATAATACGAAGTCCCCTGCATTCAAGGAGCCTGCATTCAGAGAATGTAGCATCCGTGTGCCCCATAGAGGAAAACACTCAAGAAAATATTCTAATGAAGTAAGAGCCAGGGAAAGAGCCAAGAGGAAAGAATATATTATATAGACTATAGATGTGAACAATGAACCCATCAGTATCTAATTAAATATAAATATAAATCAATAGTGATAACGTGGAACTTGCACTTAAGTACCAAGCAAGGATTCTAGAAATAGAAGAGACATACTATGAAGAAAAACCTAATAATGGTCAAGAACTAAAAATATGGCATGATCAGTAACTAGAATTTGCAGGGGATGTTAGGGAAGAAAAGCAAATTCTCCCCAAATCTCATCCTAATGGGGGACATATGTAGAAAGCATGAAAATAAATACATTTATCTCATTGGAGGAGAGAGAGGATAATGGTGGAAAAATAAAGTTACACCTACCTGAGAAATATACATACAAATTATTTATCAGGAATGGGAAGATAACCACTATTGAATAGAAAAGCACAGAAAAAACACCAAAGAAAACTTCACCAAAACAGCAAAAAGAAAAGGGAGAAGATGAAACATAGTGAAGTAAATAGTAAGCAAAGTAAAATAGAAGAAAAATTTTCAAAAATATCTGTTGTTATACTAAATGTTGTTAAATTCTCCAATTAAAATACCAAGATCACTAGACTATATCAAAATACAAAAATCAGGTATATATAGTTTGTGAGAAATACACATTAAAATATAGGTAAAGAGAGGTTGAAAACAAGGTAAATACAACAAAGAGAAAACAAAATGTATACATCGATACAAGACAGTGGAATTTAAGATTAAAGATGCTAAACATGATTACAAAGCAACATTACATAATAAAAGATACTTATGAAGAAGATACAATTCATGAACTTGTATTCAATAAACAAAAGAATGAGTTTTTGCTGCATATATTTAACTACTATAAATGCAAGAAGAAACTGTTTAAAAATACAAACACAAATACAAAATTCAGATTGAATTATTGGTTTAAAATAATGTCTACAAATTCTTGACACTCCCTTTATTATTTTAAGATTTTTTTTTTTTTTAATTTGACAGAGAGAGGGAAAAGACAAGCAAGGGAAGTGGCGGGCAGAGGGAGAAGGAGCAAGGAGCCTGATGTGGGGCTCAATCCCAGGACTCCAGGATCATGACCTGAGCCAAAGGCAGTTGCTTAACTGACTGAGCCACTCAGGCGCCTCGTGACACTCCTTTTAAAAGGTGAAGCCTAATTTGCCTCATCTTGAATGTGGGTTGGATTTAGGAATTTTCTTTTAATGAATTGAAAAAAAAAAAAAGCAGGAGTGATAGGGTGCAACTTTGGTGAGTAAGTCATAAAAGACACTACAATTTCCTGCCTGCTTTCTCTTTTGCATCACTCACCCTGGGGAAAGCCAGCTGCTATGTCTTGAGAACACACTCGGGTACCCTGTGGAGAAGCCCAGGTAGCTGTTCTGCCAATAACCAGTGAAGAACTGAAATGCTGTCCCTGCAGTCACATGAGTTAGCAATCTTGGAAATGGGTCCTTGAGCCCAGTCAACCTTTCAGATGACTGCAGCCCTGGTCAATAGTTTGACTATCACAGCATGAGAGACCCTAAGCTAGAATCATTCAGCTAAGCTGCACTCAAATTTCTGACCCATAGAAACTGGGAGACACTAAATGTTTATAGTTTTAAAATACTAAGAACTGGGGTAATTTGTTATGCAGCAATATATAATATACATATTTAGACAGATATATTAGAAACTTAATATGTGGAAAATTGAATATTTAATCAATGAACTTA